AAAAACTATAATTCTTATATCAGTAGGCTTGTTAGTCTTTAACAAATATGTGAACCATTGAGTTGACACAGGTGGAGGTGGGAGCACAATGTTATAATGTTGTAAGGCTAAAAAGAGAATAGGTTGCATAATCTGACAATCTAACAGAAGATGGGTTCATCTTCGGCATTTACCCCACAAAGAGCATATTTAATATCCAAATGCGGTAGTTTAAAGTGCAGAAAAACTCTAGTAGGTAGATCCACCAAAAATGTCTTATCTTTGGAGGACAACACAGTTTCCATAAACTGTTCCAAATAGAAGAATTGGTGAGTGTATGAAACTGTGAATTAACCAAACATTAATACATAGCTTTAAATGTCACTTGGCCTGAAGGATGATTTGCCTAAAATAGTTTATCAGCTTGTAGACATTCTAGGGACAGAGGGATACCCCTAATATCCTTTATTACAGTAGGTGGTAATAAAAACCGCAGTCTGTCAAAGTTCCATTGCCCATTGTTAAATAATTCACTGACTCTCCAAGATGTATTATCATTATTCATCTATGAATGGTAATGGACTTGTAAAGGCTGTGTAGATAGCCACGGTTGGATCCAAAAATTAATGGATTCCCCATTTCCCACCTTCCACTGGAGACCCTCTTGAATAGCTTGAACTCTTTTTAGCATACTCTGCCATCCCCAATAAGATGACCTTTGATGAGTAGCAATATCTAAAATATCACGTTCCCTATGATACTTAGACTTTATAATTTGGGCCGGGAGCATACATGGGTTAGCATGTAATTTCCACACTAACTTAGCTAAGAAAACAATGTTTATTAACTCTAGTTCTTCTTTTATTTGGTTTTTTACAATATCTTGTTAGTAATAATTTTCTCTTGTGTTTGAGTTAAAAATATCCTCTTTGAGGTGGGTACGACCTTTGCTTGTTACTTGTTTACAATTGCGAATCTATTTGACAGCCAAAGTATAATAATTCTTTCAAAACACACAAATACAACTTGTATTTGATAAGAGACCTCAAAAACCTCTTATCATCTGGACAACTTTTACTTCTGCAAGAGGTTGAGACGAAGACGAGGTCTCCTTTGCCATGGTATCTTCTTTGCCCTTAGGATTTAGGATGGGTTTTCTCGTAAATCTGCCCTTCTCATCGAGTTTTTGTTCTAGCCGTTGGATTGCCAGAGCGTTCATTTCAAGAGACACTTGTGTATATTGCATGAAACGAGCTAGAATATCATCGATAGATAGTTTTTGATGGGCAGGTGGGTTAGCTAGAACTAAGTCCATGGAATTACTCAATCACTGAGTATCATAAGTGGAGATTGTTACCACAGTTCTATTGTCATTGTAAGGTGCATTGTTGCGTTGCCAATGGGGCTTATGAAATCCAGGTGGAACCGTATAGGCATTGTTGTTCGAGTATGACAGTTTTGAATGGTTCACATATGGGTAGGTAGTATTGCCTCTTACAAAGTTCGTCTTCCCAACGTAATTGAACGCTAGAGCTTCCTTGGTTTTGGTAGAGATGAACATGGTAGGACAAACTTCGGCATTATGGGATAGATTATGGCAAACATCACATGGGGAGTAGTGACGCTCATGACCGATGTGTTGGGTTTACAGGATACCTCAAGTGTTTCTACCTTTTCTATTATACCTTGAAGAGTCGTTTTAAAATTGGGGTCAGGCTTGACGTCATACATTCCTCTAGGTTTATCGTTTGTGGTTGTGGTAGTGTTTCTTGAATGGTGATCACTATCCCACTGTTGACTATTGTTAGTGAGTTTTTCAAAAAACTTTAAAGCCCAGGCACAAGACAAGTCTAGGAATGCGCCACCGTTCGTGCTTTCAACAAAGTTTCAGTTTTATAGTTGAGACCTTTATAAACGATTCTAACTTTTTTTGTGTCATCAACTTTGTGGTGTGGACACCGAATAAACAAGTCTTGGAACCTCTCACATGCATCACAAAAAACTTAACCCTCTTTTTGTTAGAAACTTCTAATGGCGTCAATCATGTCATTTGTTTTTTGAACAGGAAAGTATTTGTTCAAAAACTTTTTGTTAAATTGAGCCCAGGAAGTGATAGAATTAGTTGGAAGGTTATGTAACCAAATATATGCTTTATCTTCAAGAGAAAAGCGAACAACCTCATCCTAACTTCTTCATTAGTCAAATACCTCTCCTGAAAAATATTAAGCATCGTCAGAAACATGTTAAGGTACTGGTATGGATATTCCTGTGAAATTCCATGAAAGTTAGGCAACATGCCCACAATCTGATGGAGAATGCCAAGGGTGAAAAGTAAATCCGTAAAGTAGCTTCTTGAGCCATAAGTGCATGATTTACTTGGGCAGTGGGTGAAGTTGAGTAGCAAACTCTTCGTCAGAATCAAAAGGTAGAGGGATGTGAATTGGGTCTGTGATTATGCTCCTTGTGTAAACACTAAGGGTTTTAGGTATGTACAGGTTACCAGGTCTAAGAAACATGCATTATGTGCATTAAATATGCAATACAAATTATCCTTACCATTCAAACATGTAACAAGGGGCTCAAAAATTGTTTCAATTTTGTGTTCAAAAAGTCAACGACTCAACGAGTTCTTCCAAAGCTTCCGTTGTGAATTTCCCCTTATATTTTGTGAGTCAAGTCGCGACTAATATAAGTATGGGAGGTTTTTTGTGCATAAACAACATGGCTTAGTTATTTAACGACAGTGATTCTACAGACATGTTCTGTTGGGACACCAAGACCTAATTCCTAGCTTGTGTTCCAATCAAAGAATAGTTGACGCAATAGTAGTTTAAATATCTGCTCAAAATCTCAAATGAACATCGTGATATCATGGATTTAGTTGGTTCAATTTTAGGCTTAGGATATTGCAATCAATGGATATTAACTGTTTCACTTTCCACAGGCCAGGTTCAACGTCATTCTTGGTTATATCTGCTCAAGATTTTACCGTGAATGTCTTAAAAATTTAAACCGCTTTTATAAATCCTACAATCAAATTATACCTTTATAACATATGGATTACAATGAATTTCTATACTAAGACACAACTTAAACAAAAATATGCAGAAAAAAAAATATTGACTCAACATAAAATGGAAATCCTAGCTTATGTCCCAAAAAGAATCAACGTGTCTAGCCACGTTGGCGAAGACCATCAACCTCATCACGCCATGCAAACACCAACTCATACGTCAAAAGTCCATCTGGCTATGTATTCCCATTAATAAAATTATCATATCTGTAAACAATGAGGAATATATCATAATCATCATTAGTATCAGCCTCCGAAGTGAATCGGTGGCTTCTCCTGGTCAACCAATGAGTAGCATCCATTGGTGTGACTTAGATCCAATCATTATACTTGGTACGCCATTGAGGATAGAAGAAAATAATTATCTTACTAATAGCAATAGGATAAACTAACTTTTCTTTCCAAATAATGAACACATACCGTAGACTTCAAGAATCATAGTAGAAATATCAAGTACACGACATTCATTAACCTCAGCCCAAACAATATGCATAACACGGTCATTAACATAATGAACGGTTTCAAAACCCATCACATTCCTCATAGCCCATAAAGCAACAGTAGCAACATTAGCAGGAAATGAAACAATGAGTGCCTAAGGGTCAACACCGGGTTTGATGACACAGGGGCTATAGTCAAATAATATCAAGTAATTACCAAGAAGGTCAACATCATTATCATGATTGTATTCCCAAGTGTGCCTTCAGGATTGAAAACAAAGTTAATGCCAAACACAAAGCAGATGGAAATAGTATTAAAAGTCATCCAAGTACCATGCATATAAACTTCAAAACCATAAAAAAGGAGGTCTCTAGCAGCAGGTAACATACGATAGAAGTCTCTTACCATAAAAAGAAAATATTCAGCAGTAGAATCATACAGAAAACTTCCCTATCCCATGTCACGAATTGCATCACCAAAAGTAGCACCATACAGACCATCCATAATACTAGAATAATCCAGCTCAGGGACAATTACCAAGGCATTTGGGTTTAACACGGTTCCTTGGAAGTCAACCATTGAAAAGGAAGAAGAAAGACACCAAAAATCAAGACAACAGCAAAGAAATCATTACCAAAAATTAGAAATGAACTCGATTCGAGTTGACTGATTGGAACTCGACTCGAGAAGTGATGGATTTCAAA